CGCTTGAATTTCTCTTCATGGCTGACTTTCGAAAAGAATCCAATTTGCACGCTACCACGAGAATCGCGCCTAATATTTGTGCTCTACGGCACACAAACGACCGAAAATGAGCAAAACACAGATGCTAATGGTGAACGTCGCTCGGTGGCCACCGAATTAGGCTGGTGCGCCATACAATTGTTTGATCAGAAGCGTGAAATGATTTGCGGCTCCTATTTGCTTTCGATGTGGCCGCCAACAACGGATAAGTTCTTAGGTCCGGCGCCTGCACGCGGTTGTCATCCACAGCCAGATATCTGCCCGGTGTTAAGCATAGAAGTACCGCCTTACGGTGGCCGCATACTATTCCCCGAGCCGTTGGAACAGCCACCGCCAGCACCGCGTTACGATTTCAATTCGCTGGACGCTAATTTGCAGCAGGAACTGCTAGACACTGCCGAGCAGGGTTATTCGGGCGCTAAGGATAAACGCGAGGTATTTTGGGAAAAACGGTTGTATTTGCAGAGCTTTCCCTATGCATTGCCGAAAGTGCTTCACGCCGCGCACAGCTGGGACTATGCCAGCCTTATGGATCTCCATTCATTGTTGCATTCTTGGGCGCCGTTGTCGCCACTGCAAGCGCTGGAATTGCTGCTACCGCGTTATCCTGACGCCAAAGTGCGTGAGAAGGCGGTCGAGTGGATTTCGCAACTGCCGAATGATCAGCTGGTCGATTATCTGCCGCAATTGCTGCAGGCGCTCAAGCACGATACCTACGAAGCATCGGCAATGGCCCGCTTCTTGCTCTGCAAGTGTTTGGAATCGCCGCGCATAGCCCACCACTTGTACTGGCTCTTGGTACACAGTTTGCCAGGCGATGATCCACAGAATTCAATCGATGCCTCATCGGTGGCGAGTGAAATTGATGAGTCGCTAATAACGCAGGCGCGCTACTATAGGCGCAACAAGATGATGCTTCGCGCGCTGCTGGCGGTGTGTGGCGAGCGGCTGTTGGCGCGCTTTCTCAGTCAAAATATGATGTGCAAGGTAAGAGCACAGGGAAGAGCGAGTTGGAGTAAAGCGAGATATATAGAAAGAGAATGGAAGAGAAAGATGGGCACGGAGGTTGAGTTATAGTAACAGAAAAAGAGAAAGGTAAAGGGAGAGGAGCAGAAAGATAAATAGAGAGGTCAGAGAGATAAATAGAGAGAGAGATAAAGCAGAGGAATGAAAAGATAATGGCAGAATGAAGAGGAGGATAAAAAAGAAGTGATAAAGAGTATATATGAAAGAGAGAGTGAAAGGGAGGGAAATGCTATACTGTGGGAAAGAGGGAGGTAAGAGTAAAGAGAGAGGTAAATAAGACAAAAAAGATAAGGAAGATGGGAAAAGAAAGGGGAAAAATGGGTAAAAAGTGACAGAAAGATGGAGAGAAATAGAAAGAAAGAGAGGTAGAGAGAAGGAGAGGGAGAGACAAGAAAGAGAGGCACAGAGACAAAGAGAGGGAGAGACAGAAAAAAAGAGAATGATGGGCACAGAGACAAAGATTTATATAGACTGGGTTCACACAGAGAAACTTTTGTTGCTCATTTTCGACAATTTCTCTTTTAGTGTTGCTCTTCGCGTTCACACAGAGCAATTCTTTTGTACACAATTGTTGTTGTCAGCTGTGAACGGCCAACTAGAATTACTCAGACGAACGAGAGCACAAAGCGTGTTGCCCGAGCATGAGCAACTCGGTGCCCTTCCCCCTTCCTCGTCACTCCCCCTCCCTCGTCACTCCTCCTCCCAGAACCTAGATCTATTGAACTTAAATTAATTCTTGTCCACAGAGCTTAGCGCGGCTTGCCGAATCCGTAAAGGAGGCTAAAGAATCATTGCGGCAAAAAACCCTCTGCTTCGGCATGGAAACTGTACATCAGCAGTTGGGTGACAAGCCCACTTCTCTGCCGCTGGGCCCCGAATTAGAAGTGACCGGTGTAAATGTGCGCGCTTGCAGTTATTTTAACTCAAATACGCTGCCACTAAAAATATCCTACATCGGCTCAGATGGCGAAGTGCTGCCGGCGATTTTTAAGGTTAGTGCGGATCACAAAATAAAAAAGTTAATAATCACTCATATTGCTCTCACTTGCAGTCCGGTGATGACTTGCAACAGGACATGCTTACCATTCAGCTCATACGTGTTATGAACAAAATGTGGTTGGCTGAGGGTTTGGACCTGAAAATGGTTACCTTCAATTGTGTACCTACGGGCTTTAAGAAGGGCATGATTGAATTGGTGTCCGATGCGGAGACATTGCGTAAAATACAAGTAGAATATGGCTTGACGGGTTCGTTTAAAGATAGACCGATTGCTGAATGGCTAGCCAAACAGAATCCTAGTCAGTTGGAGTATCAGAGGGCGGTAAAGAATTTCACAGGTGTGTATACGAATGAAATGGTTGAAAGGAATGCAATTTGTAAAGCAGAAAAATGTGCTTTACGAATTACGTTCTTCGAAAGCTCGAAATTCTTTCTAATTCGTGTGTTTTAACTGTCATAGTTTCCTGCGCCGGCTACAGCGTTGCGACTTACATACTCGGTATCTGTGACCGTCACAATGACAATATTATGCTGAAGACTTCCGGTCATCTCTTTCATATAGATTTTGGAAAATTCTTGGGCGACGCGCAAATGTTTGGCAATTTCAAAAGGTAACAACATTATTACGCTTATATTCTCTCTTCTAATCATATTTTCACACCCTACCACACAGAGATCGCACCCCATTCGTGCTCACCTCCGACATGGCTTATGTGATCAATGGCGGCGATAAACCCTCCACAGATTTTCATTATTTCGTCGATTTGTGTTGTCGCGCTTTCAATATAATACGCAAACATGGTGATCTCATTCTGCATATGCTTGCACTAATGGCCACTGCCGGCATACCCGGTGTAACCGCTGATGCAGTGACTTATGTGCGTGTCGCTTTGCTGCCGGAGCAATCAAATCCAGAGGCGGCTGCCTCTTTTGCGAAGATGATACAGTTCTCGTTGAAGAGTTGGTTCACACAATTCAATTTCTTCTTGCACAATTTGGCGCAAATGCGTTTCAGCAACGATGAGGGTAGTGGCGAGTTGTTGTCATTTGTGCCGCGCAAATATACGTAAGTATGGAACTATTTGAAAATTTAGCTTCAAGGCGTTTGCTAAAAGTATTTTTTTTTTCAATCGTTTTCTCACATTACAGCATGCAACAGGATGGCCGCTTAAAAAGCGTTATGGTAGTGCGCTGTCAAAAGCATTACGATATGGAAAAGTATTACACCTACATTTTACAAGTGACGCGTCATGGTCAAACCGATCCAACGCATTTATTCCGCTCGTATAAGGAATTTACGGAATTTCATCAAAAGTTGTGTTTGCACTTTCCGCTGGCGAAATTGCATAGGTAAGTGGTAAAAGATTTGAAGTGTAAACTTACTTTTTTATTGGAGAAGTTAGGGAATGTCGTGAGCCAATTACGGAGCCTCTGTTGTGTTTTCAGTGTCTGCAAAGATATTACGAATGGCGACTAGAAACTAAATTTTTGGCGCAACAGTTTAAATTGTGAGGGAGGAATAGATTTTCTACTGTTCCCGCTGCTTGCTTGCATTTAATATATCCAAATCCTATAATGGACAACCTTACATTACCAGCCGATAATAGTTGTATTTCCAATTATTTGCACTCTAGCGTCGCTAGCTGATATCACAGTTGAGGGTTCGTAACTGCCCTTAATTAATCCATTGTAGAGAGAAAATGTAGTACTTTGGTATCGACCGTCAGTTTATTATTCAGTTCTTATTTAAGTCATGGTGTGGTTTGTCCCCAAAACACTACTGGCATTGCGTCTGCTCAGAGATATTATTTCCAAGCATACTATTGCTGGTGTGTTTCTCACGGTAGTGTCCAGCCTTTGGCCTGAAAATCGACTGGACGCTCTCGTTGCGCTATCGGCTATGAAATCGGGGACATTGCCTCCACTTCGGTCTTTCGGTGTTCATTATTTAATTGATACTAGTTTGCACTAAAAAGAAGAACAGCCTTACCCTGTACTTGTTTAGCTAAGACATCTTGAAATTCCGTGTAGGGATCATAAAGCTAAATATTAATGTGAGAGGTGCACCTAAGGATATAATCTCTGCTTTTCACAACACTTCTGTTAAAACCAAGATATTTAAAAAGTTCGGGAAAGTTTTAGGAGGGTAGAGAGTGAATGTGACAGTGATCACATTAAGCCAAGACTTCTCTCGCGTCTCCTTGGAACCACATTCGACTAGCATATGCAAGGGTATCTCTTAGGTCGATTCAAAAACAGCAGAGATCGTTTGACCAAATAACTAGTTTGTGTAGTCGACCCACCAGCTTGGAGTTAAAAGCTCTTCCGAAAGGCTCTTAGAATGGCTTCACTTAAGAAGGCCTACTCAAATTATCTTTTAGGTAGGGCCCGGTAAGAATATCGTTGATTATTCCTAATTCCGTAATCTCTTTATCTAATAAATTGGCTAAGTAGTCTTGTTGGGCGCCGCCGAATCTATTCTCTCATGGCGCGTCTTTCATTTCTGCGCTTTTCTTAGTTTTTATTTGAGCCTAGCGCTGGATAGGGCTAAGTCCCCAATTGGGGGCCGCTTCTCTAGCTCGGCTGTGGCCATGTGCCGGTTGTTATGCCTTCTGGAGTTATGGAGACGTTTGTGTACCAGTGCAGGGTATAAGCTTGGAGATGGCCGATTTTTTGGTTTAATTTACTGTTCATTTTTTTTTTTAGTAGGAATAATCGCGATTCTGTTCATCTGTTTATGTTTTGGACATAGACAAATAAATCTAACCCTCCTTAAAATAATGTCAACGATACATTTTTAATAAAAGATTTAAATGACGAATGCCGAGATAAACTATTCACACTCTGGTGTTCTTTAATTTAAAATTTCTTTTATTTAGATATGCATAAGTATTTATTTTTGGCACATTTTATATAACACCTAACTTTGGTTCTACTCTCATTAATACTTTTCCGACTTAGGTAAGCCTGCAGTTGGGTTTCGATTCCTCTCTATTGCTTCCCACAATTTCCCTCTTAATCTCTGTTCTCACTCTCTCTTAAGCCTCTGTTGAATTATGATAACTCTGCTCAAAGTAATGTTGTCGCATAGCAACTTGTGGCTTAAAACTACTCATTGGTTGCTGTTGATGTTGTGTTATGATGCTCTCCTCCATGAAAACAACGCTCGTAACCGAAGACGTTTGGGCGAGCGTACTACGATAGGACGGTTTGGGTTGCTCGTTAACATTTAAAAGAGCTGGCAACGTGGCTCTCGTTGTACCCGACGCTGTCGGTGTCCTCTGTAGTTGGCTTATCGCGGTCCAACTCTCGCTCAATTCCGTTTCCGCAGTTTTCAGCGAAATTGGTGTGTCGAAAAGCAGCGACGCTGGCGCAGGTAAGCTTGTGGGTGATAGCGTAAGGTGTGTTTGATTTTCTGCACTGCCGCCGTCCTGCTTTTGCTTCTCGGCTACGTAATAGGTTTTGGTGGTGCGTTGCATTGGTTTGGGCACAGCCTGTTGCGCAGCATCTTCCTCCACTGAGTCGCTATCATATGACGCGGATTTTGTCGTTGATAAGAGGCGTGTTACTGCCTGCGGCTCATTCTGGTTCTCATCCTCATCTTCATCGTCCTCATCGTTGGACGCTTGGTAATATTCTGTACTACTGAAATCAAATGTAACCTTCTGACGCGGTCTAGGTCGCGCGCGTGCCTTTGTTATCACTGTAAGCGGTTCTGCAACAGGCTCGAAAATGCTATCTTTGCTGTGTTCACGCACGTAATCATCGTCTAAAGCGGATATTTCTTTATGCGCATAGCCAATAGGACGATCCTCTTGCGATGGTGTCACAATCATTACATGGTCTTGTTCCACAAATTCAACGCTACTCATATTGTAGTTGTAGTGCGGCGATGTGGGTTCATCTTCATCTTCTATATTGGAGAGCTCGCGTTTAAGTTGCGCGCTATGGCGCTTAAAGCCAGCAGGCCGACGTTCTGTGCGCAGCACTGACTCTCCGTCACTGTCGTATGCATCCTCCAAGTCAGCGAAATTATATTGCACAACGTGTTTGTCTGCGATTACTGTCGTTTTAGGCTTTTGTACAGCCAAGTTTTCAAAGCTCTCCCAGTCTTCATCGATGCTTTTGCCAAAGCCCTCTGGTTCGGGTGACGCTATTACCACCTGCTCGTGCACACGTTTCAAACCACCAGTGTTCTCAAGGAAGGCGGCCTCATTTTCCTCGTACGAGTGCCGTATCTTGTCAAATTCCTCTTCAATGTTGCTCACGAAATCACGATTAAAATCTAGCTCTTTTTCAATTTCGAGCCATACACACTTTTCACGCTCGTCTTGTTTTATATTAGCCTCCAACTCGTCCCACAGCTGTTCGGACCGAGTTACGTGCGCAGGGGCGGTCGGTTGTTGAATGTTGAGTGCAACTTCCTCTTTAACTGCATCGCAGCTCGCTACTTCTTCCTCGTGCAGTGGGCTCGTAAATGTGTCTACATATTTGGGCGACGAGCTATCATCCAACCTCTGTGATTTAACATTATTTTCAGCTTCGTAGTCACTAACACTGCAGTTAGGCACTGAAGCAGATTTTAAAATCCTATTTCGCTTTACGCCACCCAGCTCATCAGCATACTCTTCGTCGCTGGTGAAGTCGATGCTCTCTAGCGACACTGGTGTGCCATGTTTGCCCGCCGCTCGTTCATCTGCCTGCCAGCCTAAGCGCTCTCTGCTTTCCAGCTTGTGACTATCATTTGCGTAAGAGGCCGGCACATCACCAGCAATCATACGCAACTCGCGTGCGCTCGCTCTATTCATATGATCATAGTTGTGTCCGTTGAAGGCGTCATAGTCTACGCGCTCACCATGCTGGTACGGTGTTGGACTTACTGTATTCAAGCTTGCTTTCGGCTGTTCCCATTTTTCGCGAAAGTCTGCCAAGCCATCCACATCGATTTCCTCGTACTTAATGTAGCCTGTTGGGCGACGTTCACCGAACTCCTCCACGCTTGTGGAGTGCGTTGCTTCTAATTCGCGTAGCGACGAGCTGTCAGTGCCTGCCAATGCCATGGCTTCTATATGTTCCTCATCAGGCCGTAGAAAGCCCGTCGCACGGCGTTCGTTAATTTTTGGCTGGTACGGCGCCGCCTCTGTAGAAGGCAATTTGGCTTTCATGAACTTGTGCATGCCCACTAGTTTCTCTTCGCTATATGAGTTGCGATTTAGTCGTTTCGGCGGCTGTGGTGACGACTCACGCATGCGGAGAATACTCTCGGTTGACTCGGCGCTCAACTCGTTCGCCTTTTCCTCCTTCAACTCCATTTGCCGATATTTCTGTTCGAGTTCATCGAAGGTAGGCATCTCCTCAACCAGACTAATAGTTGGTGTGCGTGGTTGGGGAGAGTCCCCCAGGGATTGTAGTGAGTCCACTGGCGGGCGTGGTGGTTCACGTGCGGGCGGCTCATATTTTTCATAGATGACGCTGCGCACTTTATCTTGTCGGCGTGGCGGCGGCAGCGGGAAGAGTGAGGGTGTACTTTGAGACAGCTTCCGTATGCGAACGGCTGGGAAGAAGAGAACAAAAATGAGAATGAGAAGTAAAATAGCAGAATAGATGTAGTGGTAAATATAGAGATAGTCACTTAAAGCATTTAAGTTAAATTAAACGGGGCCTTAGAAACAACAAAACGAACTCTTAACATCGAAGAATAGGAAATAACAGTGAATCTAATGAGCCCCGGCACTCACATAGAGATGGTAGCTCAAGTAAGGAAAATGATTTGGATCCTTAAACGGGGCAAAGAAGGTGGAGACACTGCTCAGGCAGAAAAGGGAATAAAGGAACATACTCCAACAGGGTGGCAGGCAACAACAGTGGGACAGTGAAACGCGTAGCAGATTGATCGCCAAATTTATACTAAATCTGGAAGCTTGAAAGCTAAGCGAAGTAAATTTTTACTTAATGTACTCTCTAACCATTTGTGGGTATTTTAGGAAACGAAAAGTGGCGCCAGGGTGGGTGATGGTTCCCATTATGCAAGAGGGGTTTGCTCGAAAAAAAAAGAATTAAACTAAGTTGGATTTAATTAAATATAAAATATAAGTAAATGATTAATAGTGCTGGAGAACTACTCCTTAAAAGAGTTTTAAAAATACTCACGCGGCAATTGTTTTGTTGGTACAATGTTTAAGTCATCTTCTTCTCGTCGACGAAAAACGCCATGTACCTCAACGGGTTCGCTTATCTAAGTAATAAAAATCCAAATACGTAGACAAATTAACTGAAGAAATGAAAAATAATAAATTGCGAATAAAATATTGTGACAATCAAGCAAAATTGTTTACCAAAAATTAAGAAAAAGTTATAATACCATTTCATGCTCATGAAAGGTATAAAAACAATCGTGAAATGTTTGTCAAGCGCCGCTGCAACTGATAAGCAAAACCAATCAACAAAATAGGCAGATTTTATTTTTTTTAAGATAGTGCAAAAAAAGCACCGACCGTTGTGAGAGTCTAAATGATGCATACATACATATGTATGTACATTAGAACGGACCAGATTGGTTTTTTTTCGCCGAACGTAGGGGTCACCCTTTTACCTGGTACCTCAAGGTAGGAATGTTCGAAATCGTATCGATTATTCTGATCATCGATATTTGATGGTACGATAATTGATTTTTTGAATCGATATTCCAAGGTCGATATATCGGAAGACATCGATACTTTACCCGCAATATCGATATCTAAGTTGAAATTTATTTTTCATCTACAAAAAAAGTGTATGGAAAAATACTAAAGTAGGTTTAATCAGCAGCTTGTGTGATTTATTTAGCTTTTAAGTTTGACAAACCGCTTGAGTCGACCGGCATGCCGTTTTAATCCTCAGTGAATATACAAGATGGAAATAACACAATTAGGTGAGTTTATAGGCAGGTCTAATATTCTATTCAATTGGGAGTAGGATTCTCAACATCGATTTTTCCGATATCGTTATTGTTCAGCCCGATATATCGCCATATCGATTTTACATGCAATGAATTAAATCGATTCATAATATCGATACCTTCTTAAATATCGAACATTCCTACCTCTAGGGTACTCCAAAATGTTTATGTGAACAATAAAGTCGGTTTTTTTTTTTTTTGCTTAAAAATTACTTGTTCGTAATTTTTTTTGTTCCAAAAGTTCATTGACCCTGAGTATCCTGTTCTAGTACTTACCTAGCAGAGATCACCGTTCTTATCATCCTATCAATAAATTTAACTCTACAAAATTAATTAAACTTTTGCAAAGAAAATATTTTGGTTAATTCAGTAGAACTATTTAAAAAAATTTAGTGCCGAATGTATGCGTCACCTAGATTTGGTTTGAAAAATTTTTTCCTGTCGAAATTGCCTTGCAAAAATTTTTTAGACTCAGGGTATACGACCAACTTTTTTTGTTTGCTTGTAAGGTGGTACGGTCTAATGTGCATGTGCATAAATACGTGCATAGGTTTATTCTTACTTTGTATATCTAACAAGCTTTGTATGTACATTTGTATGTATTTCTGATAGCCCCTATCCATATGCATGCTTGGCTATGATATGAAAACCAAAGTGCGACGCTCTAATTTCTCGGTAGAGTGCGAAGATCATTTAGTATGGTAGCGTGTTGCAGTTTACTTATAAAATAAACATAAATAAAACCATAAATATTTAGCAACAACTACAAAAAAAAAAGAAAAGAAAACTCGTAGAAAAGTCTGTTTTGGTCTTAGTTGCCTTTCATTATCTGCAAAGCGACAGGCACCAAGCAGCGGTAGGCTTAGCCTAGCCATGTGAGGATGGACGCATAAAAGCATGCGTCATACCACTGAAAAAACAATAACATTAATAAACACCTTTATGCGTACATTGACATTGTTACTTTACATAGCTTTTTGTTTGCCTTTTATGTTGTGAATATTTGATTATTTTTTATAACTATTGCTTATGTTTTATCGATGTCGGTTATCGGCATGAAATTTATTTAGGGTATGGCCTCCTTGTAGTTGTAAATAAATGAGGTGGGCCGGGTAATAAGTGCTTATTAGTTAAAGTGGGCCATTGAAAATGATTTTTGCTAAAGTTTTTCTAATAAAAAATTTGTTATGAAACACTACAAAGATTTTCTTGATATTTTTTGATGCGAGAAAACACTGCGTTTATTTAAAATCACCGTAAGGACTATGTAACTATAAATAATTATATTACAAAAAAGGCACTAGCTACTAAGGCTATCGGTCTAAATACTTTTTTTTTTAATACAATTTTTCTTTACAAGCTGTATTATCTTAGTCGTGCCTTTGGAATACAGATGAGGTGTGTTTCTAAAACAACGGAATTCAACTGCTTTATATTATTTCGTGTAGACTTTGACTCTGGCCTATCGATTTAAATGACCAGGAAACGGGGCTCCTAAAAGGTGTCTTTTTGCTTATTTTCTGCCTGGGATTGCATACTTTGCACTTCTGCAGCTATTACATCCTACACTATTTCACCGTTTCATTCATTACCTGTTGCGACATGCGCTTCTCTCGACTGCTACGCGTACGCAATGGCACTGTAGGCGGTGCACCACCTGCCGCACCATTATTTGTCGAACTGTGATTGAATGTTAGCCGGTGTTTGAACCACCAAATCTTGATGCCCATCAATGTTGAGACCATGCAAATCAGTACACCAAAAGATGCCAGCATGGCAAAGAGTCCATCAACTGTATCGCATGTGTGTGGATGTGTGTGTGTGTGTGTGTGTGAGTGTGCGTTTATGAGTCGCAGTGGGGTAAATCGAAGAGAATAATTAAAATTAGTGGCGTTCGATATTGTTTTTTTTTTATTTGTGCGTAGATTAGCGTTTACTTGAATTTTAGCCTACCTGTGCTGTTCTGCCCACGCCAACCGCCTCTAAGCTGTTTAATTTAGCCATAATTTTCGTGATAAATTTAATATATGTATATATTTTTTTTATTTTGGTATTTTGCTTATTTCAAATTTTTTTGATGTTATTTATGTTTAGCGCATTTTTGAACACTGCTGTTTGTATATATTTCGAAAACTTTTTTGCGAATGTATTAAATTTTTTTTCAATTATTTTTTTGATCACATTTATGAAGAGTATATCAGTTCATAAATAGACTGATATGCACTGCCGTGTTGCTGCTTATCACTTTTTCCCACTTTTTCTGCCGCGTCGGGGTATCTAAAAAATCAATTATAACTTGTTCGTTGCCGTGAAATAAGTGCTTCTTCTTGTTTAATATTTTTTGTTTGTTTTTGTTTCTATTATAAATTTTGCTTTTTTGTGCTATATTTCCTATAATGCTTTTGCGCTAACTACCGCCGTTGGTCGTGTCTGCATTGCACGCGTTTATCAAATCGAATGACAAAAGCGTTGAAGTGGGTTGACTGGCTGCTTGGCTGTTAACTGCTGTTCGGCAACAACAACAACAACAACAGCGACAGCGACAGCAATGACAACGTCTCATTGTCAATTGTTTTTACTTTTACCTCAACGGCATTTATTAATAAAACATTTGCGGTTGCTTTTATTATTTTTTCGCTCCATTCTTTGGCTCCTTTTGCTACGGTTTCTTTGTGTTCACACACCACTCTCAAATGCTGACATTGCTTTTACTTGTTTATACATTTTTTTTTTGTAGCGCTCCGAAAGTGATTTCATTTCACAAATTAGCGTCGCCTTTTAGCCAATTTGAACGGTTATGGCCCACACGTATGCGTGTATATTACCACGAACTCTAGTCGCCACAAAAGTCTCCAGCATATCAACAGCATAGCGTCACTATCGCGCACCCTACTGGTTCCACACCTGCATCTCAGCTTATCAACTCCACCTGAAAGGCTGAATCTCTACTGATAGCCACGTTAACTCTCTATCTCTCTCTCTTTCTCTCTCTCATATTTTGTGTATCTTTCGTGGTACACTGTGATTGATTGAATATTTTTTGGCCTCAGCTCTTATCGGCTTTATTTGCACAGTACCTACGTTTTAATTGCCTTTGCAATTGTTTTTTTTTTTTAATATCTTGCTTATGTCTTTTCTTGCTCCTCCAGTAATGGTGTTTACTTTCAGTTCACTAATCGTCTTGTATTTGGCTTTTTTAGATGGTGTTTATATACTCCCTTTATACTATATTATTTTCTCCCTCTCTTCCAGCTTGCCAAGTGGCATGCATGTCGGCCGTTCGAACGTCAAATCGGTCGCTGAGCGTCGCCTGCCTCAAATACAACGTTTTCTTATCTCACTCTTCAATTCAGCGGATGAGATTGCTCACTCAGATTTGGTGTATACGTTCTTCCATCCCTTGTTGCGTGATCAGCAGGAAGCTAAGTTGACGGTGTCGAAAGTTAGAGGTAAGTACCGCTTTTGATAAGAGGAAAACACGTTAAAAACAAAAAAAAAATAAAACTATTAATATTTCCACTACATATATATGTATGTGCATACATGAATATAAAGTTAGATTGTAACTTAGTCACGATTACAGCTAGTACTTCAACTTATAAAGCGTGTTTTGTTCTAAGTAGGGATGTTTCGAATTTCATATTTGTGCGAATGCGAATGTTAGGACTAACATTAAAAGAGCTATAATCAACTTAAGCTTTCGATTTTATAACTTAAAATTTTTGTAAATTATTAGAACATTGAACGAGTGCTTAATCTATACAATGTCTAAATCTGGTAGTCAAAGTTCAAAAGGGGCATATTATATTTCAAAAACGTAATTTTGCTGCCTTTTCTCCCATGAGGCGATTTCTTAGAGGCTCGTATATAAGGCCGACTGCACTGAACAATTGCTCAATTGGAGCGCTGGCGGATGGAGCGCTCAAATATTTGCGGCCCAGATCTGTCAGTTTGTCGTATTTGAGTTTAGTTTTCCACCATTCGAGAGGATTTTCACCGGGATGAGCTCTTTTTTCTTTAAGATAGGCCTTTAAGCTTTAATTTGACATTTTTTATTGTCTCCAGATTATACGTCGGAGCCTTCGCTTTCGCTGGAGGAATCTCAAATTATTTCTAGGTTGCTAATAAGACTTTTAGCAGTACTTACTTGATATACTACTTAACCGTTTAGCGCCTGAAGCTAAAAGTCGGTTATTGTCCGCACCCTGGTTAGACAGACTTAGAGCCATTTCAACTATATTCGCATTCGCAAAACATTCGTACCATTTGATGCGAATGCGAATGTGTAAAATGATGCGAATCATTCATTGCGAAAATATTCGCAACATCCCTGGTTCTTAGTTACACCTGGCCATACATTACAGTTATCCGTAAAACGTGTTACTACTTCATAAATAAAATAACTATTTAAAATAAATAGCTTATGTCGGATTTTCGCTAGGTATTAAATGGCACAAATACCTGTGCCGTTGCGTTAAAAAAAATTTTCATTAAATTCGTTTCCACATACATATATTTTTCTAAATAGTGGAAATTAGATGCACATAAGCAAGACTTTCATATTTTGCTTGGATATATATACCATAAAATACCGGACACTTTTTTGAGAATGATACAAAAATTTTGAACATCCGTCGTAGAGAATTTATTTAGTAGTCAACTTGCTCTACTATATTATCTTCCTTCTTCTTATTTGGCGCCGCAACCGCCTTAGCGGTCTTCTCCAGTACTTTTAGTGCTCCTGGCATTCAATAGGCTGAAAAAGTGTTGCCTCCATAATTCAAGCACGTTTTCGGCCAGCGTTTCAAGCTCTTCGCAATCTTGTATTTCTATATGGACAGATAACCCTCTAGGCGGCATCTCTTTTTCTCTGCACCTTCTTTACACTCCTCATCGTACCACTTGTTCTTTCGGGCTCCCTGGAACCTGACTACTTCTTCGGCGCGGACTTTATGAGCGGGAAATGTTGCTTCATTGCTCGCATATGTCGGTTTGTTGAAGAGTGCTCTCTGAGAGCAGTTGTGAGGGTCTAGTGGCGAATGCATTGAAATTGCGAAGCACGATTTTGACATCGTGTCGGGAGAAGCACTCGTATGTAAGCTCCAAACGCTCATAGAAGAGATTCTTGGATGCCCCGTGCTTCTGTTCAATCGGGGTATGGCCAAAGATGAGCTAAATGTTGAAGAATCTGGCTTTGGTGCGGATTGTGGCTAGACATTCGTCTACCGGGGTGAACGCCAGTACTCGGCGACGGAGTACGTAGCGGAACGCAAACCCAATGCACGCGACGTCTTACGCGGGGGTTTGGTCGGTACCCAAAGGATACGAAGATATGAATTTCTGAACGTAGTGTGCTGCGATTTGCACCATTCGCTAACCAATCACTTCTGGCCAGTTCCTGGTGAATGACAGTCAGAAGCTTTTCCTACTTACAAGGACTTCTGCACACGGAACATTAAGGATTAGTTTAAAAATAATCGTGAACAATGTTAATTCTAACTATTTAGCTGCTTTGACTTTCATAACTAAATAAAAATATATATATATTTTTTCAGAAGTAAAGCAACAAACGCGTGAAAATCCCTATGAAGTTGGTCAGATTAAAATGTCTTTGCAATATCGCCGCGGTGTCTTAACGGTGATGGTAAGTAAATAAAAGAATATACATATGAACATATTAACGTGATTGCTTTGAACTCGAAACAAAAATAAAAATTTTAATCTCTAAATTATTTTATATCAAAATTTTGACAGTTCAGTCAAAGTTTGGAGGTAATCGCGACTTTAAAAATTTTTTCCTCTATGCATAGATTCATAGTTGTTTGCATTGCTGCGTATTTTTAGTAAAGGCTTTTTAAATGAAAAAATAAAAAATAAAAATCCGATTTATTAAACTATCACAAATTCTTTGCCAGATTCACCATGCGAAAGGCTTGCCCATGCTGCAAGGGGGTCAAGAGCCTAACACCTACGTCAAATGTTATCTCAAGCCGGATACAACAAAGTGACCAAACGCAAAACAAAAGTGGTACGAAAAACGTGTGTGCCCAGCTTTATGGAGACGGTAAGAAGCTAGCAAATTTTTTAATTTACATACATATGTGGTAATCTCTTCTTTCTCTCCCCTCGCTCTAGCTCGAGTATCGCATGCCATTGGAACATATACAAAATCGTTTATTGCATGTCACTGTATGGTCACACGATACATTGCAGGAGAACGAATTACTTGGCGGCTTTCAAATCGATCTGAGTAAATATGATTTACGTAAAGAACTGATCGATTGGTTTCGACTTGGACCAATGCCTAGAAATTGAACAGCGAAGTGCGCTAGGGCCGAACACAAACTAGCTAGTAGCTGTAGAATAAAATTGGGAAAAAATTACTTTGAATGGCGTTAGATGCAAGTGAAATTATCGCCAACTAGTTCGCTATTATCTAACAAAGAACCGCGACGAGGTTTTCGAAAACTACTTGCAAAGCAACAGTATTTCTTTCGCACATATAGACACCGCTACAGGGATGTCCGTTAGGGGCTGATAAAAAAAAGAGTATCTATTTACACTTACAGAGTATAACCCAAGCAACAGGCAGGCGGTTGAAAAGAACAAAGTTCTTACAGATATATATTTTTATAAATAACTTTACTTACAAATCTCTCTGCGGACTGCACTTATAAAATAGACATTCCAATTATGCTTATGAAACTTAGAATCGAAAACACTTAGAAGTTGAAAAATATTACACATACGTAAGTAAGGGGATACTAAATTTTCCTACGATTAATTGTAGATTTCATTCAGGCACAGAAAATGTAAAAAAATATGGAAGCATAATTCAAGGCGCACAGCATTCGCCGGCGATTGTAAATTTTTGGCGAAGTATTTTTTCAAGCTAAAACTCCACAACAAGTCTTGCAGGTGTCTCAGGTTTTCAGCGCTCTATTCAGCCATAATTTTTATATGCCGGCGTGGTTGCCGCAATCTACAACGCCTGAAAAACTTGTTGTGTAGTTCTTGCTTAAGCGTAAATATTTGCCTATTAAATGTTAATATTTGCTTTTTGTATTTCGTAGTTGGCACAAATTCGATCCTTCTTTTTACAAGAAGCTCACACTAGGATTTTTTTTTTGTCTTTTGCAGATGTGGGATATTCAAAGCGTACATTTATTTGAATATTGTTAAAAATTTTAAATAATATGGCTTAGCTTTGCATGGTCTCTTCGCTCAAAAAATTTTTTTTTATGTTTGCAGTTGTATAAGCTCTATTTGCTATCACTGTTTGCTGCTTCTTGTTTAAGATTTAAATGTTTTTTTCTTTGTTTTCGTTAAGATTTTTTTCTAAATTTCCTAATAGAGCATTATTGACCCTTTAACTATTGCGATTTATGTTTATATAACAGAAATGCTACTTATTGTTAATATCTTTGATAATTATTTATTTACGATAAACGCATTTTTGCGACAATTATTAGATATCTATGTTTTGCAATTTGTAAGTTAAATAAAACAACAAAATAATAAAATCGTCTTCACTTATAATTTCTCTTATGCATACATATGTATTTCAATACAAAAATTGCTTTATGCTTATGTAGCTCTAAAAAATTTGTAAATATGAAAAAAAAAAATCATAAAGAAAATAGAGAGTAAAGTGAACTGAAAGTTATCAATGTCAGCGATTATTGAGTGTAAGCTGCATAGATGAGGAGAGGTGGATGAAAATATGTATTGTATTTGTAAAAGTATTTCGGCACTACTATTATGTTACAACTAGATTTGAAAATTGTTTAATTATATCTTATTTATGTTAACACTTAGCAGAAGCGCGCCTTTAAAATCTCTTAACAAACTTAACAATAAGACAATTAACCTCAAATTAATTATAAACAAGAAATGAAACAAAATAAAGTTATGAAAAATAAAATAAAATAAAACAAATAAAATAAAATAAAATAAAATAAAATCAAATATAATAAAATAAAAT